GCTGAGCTGGTTTCTTCTCAACAAACGGCCATATTCCGATTTTGCCATCAAACCAAGAGTTCCGGTTGGTATCCCATCGTGGTCGAGCCGTCGCACACAAGAACATGACCTTCGTCATATGGTTCTTGGACTTCGAGGTTGACTTGGGTTCCACTTCATCTGGGAGCAGATACATAGTTTGCTTCGTGCGTTTCAAGTAGAACCACTTCTCGTCAATGTGGACCCACTTGAAAAAGTCGTCAAATTTTCCGTTGCTGTCAATGTGTTTCAATATCCATTCAACTCGCTTCAGCTTGTTCGCATCTGTTAACAAAGGCTTCGTAGTTCCGTTGTGCTTCTTTATTTGGCCACGTTTGACAAGTTTGTGCAGAGTAGTGGTTGGAATACCAGTTGCAGCAGAAAGGGTTCTTAGATCACCTCTGTCTTTGAGTGGGACATCCCTAATTGCATCAAGGTCGGACAGTGGTCTTGCTTTCCTTCCACACTTGTGTCTCCTCTTGCTAACATCACCAGCAGGGCAAGTGATTGGGTCAAATGTTTCGGTGTACCTCTTCCAAATCCTTCCAACCGTTTTTCTTGTTACACCAAACAGCTCGGCTGGTTCTTTCAAAGCTCCCTTAGGAAGGGGCTTTCCAACAGTGCTCCGTTGTTGCAAAAGGATCTGAATGATCGCTTGTCTTTGGTTGTTGGTCAAGTTCTTCTTTTTAGATGGAGAGGCTTCACTTGTAGTATCATCACTCCCGGTATCATCACTCGTGGTATCATCACTCGCAGTATCGCTCGCCGTATTGCTTCCACTTGCCGTAGTAGTATTGCTCGCCGTATCACTTGCTCCTCCTGTTGTTGTTGTTGCAGGAGTATCGCTCGCTTCAAGCAGCTCAATTGCATTAGTTATCATCTTGCTGTTAGTTGATTTGCTTTAGAAAGAATGAAGGGGGGGGAAAGTGAGTTAAATGGTTGATTGTTGAATACGGCGGACCGGTCGATGGATCCCCTCTTAGTGGAAGCAACGGAGACGCGACCGATGGTAGCAACGGAGACGCTTCCCCTCTTAGTGGAAACAACGGAGACGCGACGCGAGTTCGCGAGTCATTCTTGTTGGCGCTTCCCCGCCCCTCTTAACACGCAAGGCCCTCCCGCCCGCCTTTTAGTGGAAGCAACGGAGACGTGAGCCAGCAACGGAGACGCGATTCCCTCTTAGTGGAAGCAACGGAGACGCCCCCCCCCCCTCTAAGTGGAGGGAACGCAAGGGGAGGCGAGTCGGTCTTCCCCCCCCTCAGCGGAGGTGCGTAGTGGAGGGGCTTTGGCTCAACATCGATGAGTCACACCATGAGGTGCAAAGAATAAGGGTCTTAGTCAGTTGAAGTGACAGAAAGGAGTCGAAAAGAGGAAATTGGGAGGTGTGAGTGAATCAAGAGTGAAAATTATCACGTGAAAATAACACGGGGATCATTTTTGGTCCATGCGCAGAGCATTTTTTTTTCTCTTCTTCGCATCCGTTCTCCAGCTCAAAATTCAAAAAACCACATGAAAACTGCACACGCCCGAATACGCCCAAGCAGTTTTTTGCTCTCTCTTGCGACCCACTATGACTGCATAAGAACCTTCTCAATAAGCACGATAAGCATATCATAATAAAGCTCTCACTCTCAGCTTTCTATAGCCACCAGTCGCGTAGTTAAATGACTGGCAGAACCCTTTCAACCGGTAAAATGAAAATCATATGCCAAAATCAGGTCTCTTTAAGTAGTTACACCAAGTACGTCAGACATATTGACTATATTCAATCTACATGAATGTATAACTGTATAATAGATCTGTTAAGTGCAAAAAGAACCATTCTAATCGCCCAAATAATGACCTTATTTCAGTAGTAAAGGTGCAAAAGGGACATTTAATTGGGAACGGAGGAAGTACCTGGTAATCTAACTTTATGACCCCTGGTTTTCGACTTTCGGAAGGTACGAAAGCACAAGCACGAGTACGAGTACTACTACCAGTTAGTACGT